ATGGCGTGATCTCGACTCACCACAACCTCCGCCTCCTGGGTTCAGGCAATTCTCCTGCCTCAGCCTCCTGAGTAGCTGGGATTACAGGCACGCGCCACCATGCCCAGCTAATGTTTTGTAGTTTTAGTAGAGACGGATTTCACCATGTTGACCAGGATGGTCTCGACTCTTGACCTCGTGATCCACCCGCCTCGGCCTCCCAAAGTGCTGGGATTACAGGCTTGAGCCACCGCGCCCGGCACAGCATTTCTTAAGAGTAGATTGCACTTTCAAATTCTCCTTCATGGAATACCTAAAATAAAAAGTCACTAAACCAATGAAATCTGTTTGCCATTCTGTGTCGTCAAGTTCGAAGTTAGCATGGATACTACTATTGCTCTTCCTAAAGGAAAGTCCACAGATTGAATATGATATGTAACTATGCCATCTCCATTGCAGTTTGAATGGTTAAGTCCCAAACTCTGCATTTTAGGCGATAATGAAGGGGTCAGGAAGTGGATGAGGATGTAGACTATACTGAAAGACTATAGCCACCCCTAACACAAGGCGTTTTGTGTTAGTGTGGCTGATGGGCATCCAATTGTTGGTGAAATTATTTGTGCTCTAAAGGAGTACGCTCAAAAGGTAGGCTTTGATTCATTTCAGTTTGATCCCACTTTTGAAACTTTCTGTTAATGGCATTTGCCCTTTCCCCACAAACAAGCATTCTATATGGCAGCATAAACATACTAGCATAAGCTATACCATATTTACCCAGTTTTTTTTTTTTTTTTTTTTTTTTTTTTTTTTTTTTTTTTTTTAAGACGGGGCCTTGCTGTGTTGTTCAGGCTAGAGTGCAGTGGCGCAATTTCAGCTCACTGCAACCTCCACCTCCTGGGTCAAGTGATTCTCATGCTTCAGCCTCCCGAGCAGCTGGGATTACAGGTGCCCACCACAACACCCGGCTAATTTTTGTATTTGTAGTAGAGATAGGGTTTCACTATGTTGGCCAGACTGGTCTCAAACTCCTGACCTCAGGTGATATCCTCCGCCCCCCACCCGCCCACCTTAGCCTCCCAAAGTGCTGGGATTACAGGCATGAGCCACCACACCCAGCCCGCAGTTGTTTATATGCATTGTCTTATGTCATCATTAACATCTTCATCTCTTTCCTGCTCCTTTTGAGCCTCTCCTTTTTTCTGTACGTTCTTTGAGACAGAGCTTCAGTATTCTTCCTCCCCAGGCTGGAGTGCAGTGTCGTGATCTCTGCTCACTGCACCCTCTACCGCCTGGGTTCAAGCAACTCTCCTGCGTCAGCCTCCCAAGTAGCTGGGATTACAGGCATGCACCACCACACCCCTCTAATTGTGTATTTTTAGTAGAAATGGGATTTCTCCATGTTGGTCAGGGTGGTCTCGAACCCCCAACCTCAGGTGATCCAACCATCTTGGCTTCCCAAAGTGATGAGATTACAGGCATGAGCCACTGCTCCCAGCCCTCCTTTTGGGCCTCTGCTTTTTCTATAGGATTCTTCTGCAAGAAGAGTTCTTTGCCAGGAGCAGTCTTCTACTTTGGGTTTCTTCTCATATCTTGTGCTTTGTAAGTTGTGGTCTAACTTTGGAGGATTAAATTTAGTAAATACGCTGTTTCTTGATGCTTCATTCTTGTTCTGTGAAAGGCCATATATGCAGAACGACCCCGCAAATGTCAAAGGAGCCTAGAAACCAAGATATAAGGCAGATAAATGGAGATTGTTGGTATTGGGTGACTGATTAGGAGGAATTTACAGACAAGTACAGTCTTGTGTGGCTGAAAGATGTAGATCTCTGCACTGTAACCCCTCATACCCAGGGCTTGGGTATGTATACATTTTCTTGGGGAAAGTATGCATGCTCTAGAAAGAATGTGTGGGTGGCTGAGAGAATGCTGCCGACATCACAGCCTATAGTGTATACAATAGTATCAAGGGCTGTTTTGGAGAAAAGGCCAAACTTAAAGTGAACAGGCAGAAGTCACATGGGATTAGCATTTAAAATAAAGTCACTCTTGTCCCCACAGTTCTTAGCTATGTTGCTGTTGGGATTTAGCCCTGGAGCAGGCAGGAATATTGTAGTACATGGGTTCCAGCTTCTCTGGGAGTTACTGATATTTTCTCTACATAAAGCTCAGGTTCTAGGTTTAAAGGCTTAAGTGAAAAGATCTGAGATGATAGTATGGTATCGTTATTTGGAAGGAAGTGGGCTAGCAGCAGCTGTGGTGAATTGAATATTCTAAGACCTGACAATATAAAAAAGCTGTCACACTGTCCTATCTAATGTGTGTGTTTGTTTGTTTTTCGTGTTTTTGGAGGCAGTCTTGCTCTGTCACCCAGACTGGAGTACAGTGGTGCAGTTTCAGCTCCCTGTAGCCTCCACCTCCTCGGTTCAAGCGATTCTCGTGCCTCAGCTTCCTGAGTAGCTGGGACGACAGGCGCGAGCAACCATGCCCAGCTAATTTTTGTATTTTTAGTGGAGATAGTGTTTTGCCATGTTGGCCAGGCTGGTCTCGAACTCCTGGCCTCAAGCAATCTGCCCACTTCAGCCTCCCAAAGTGCTGAGATTACAGGCATAAGCCACCACGCTGACCTTAATGTTTGCTTTCCTTCTTGGTGACGGTGTTTGTGGTGACTCTATGAATAACTGACCTAAGAACTTACATAGGCTGGGCGCATTGGCTCACACCTGTAATCCCAGCACTTTGGGAGGCTGAGGCGGGTGGATCACCTGAGGTCAGGAGTTCCAAACCAGCCTAGCCAATATGGTGGAACCCTGTCTCTACTAAAACAAAACAAAAAAATTATCCAGGCATGGTAGCACATGCCTATAATCCCAGCTACACAGGAGGCTGAGGCAGGAGAACTGCTTGAAACCTGGGAGGTGAAAGTTGCAGTGAGTTGAGATCGCACCATTGCACTCCAGCCTGAGCAACAAGAGTGAAACTCCGTCTTAAAAAAAAAAAAAAACTGATATTCTAAGTGCCCCTGTGCTACTGTAGGAAGTAACTGATCTTTCTGGACATAATATATTACATGGAATCATGTTTCTAAGAATAATCAGCATTTTCTTTTCAGGAAGAGCAAGCAGTCAGACCGAAATACCTACTGGGTCGGGAAGTCACTGGAAACATGAGAGCCATCCTAATTGACTGGCTAGTACAGGTCCAAATGAAATTCAGATTGTTGCAGGAGACCATGTACATGACTGTCTCCATTATTGATCGGTTCATGCAGGTGAGCATTTCAGTAATAGTTTTCCCTTTTGGGATTCTAGCTGTCATAAGAAAATGACTTTCAGCCAAAATCGTTCTTGGGGGATTTGATGTTATTAATTAAGATTTTGCTATGGGAGAATGACTGTCTACCTCTCCTCCATCATAGCGCTGTGTCTCCTTTTCACATATTTTATTCATCCTGTTAAAATTCCCATTGCAGAATAATTGTGTGCCCAAGAAGATGCTGCAGCTAGTTGGTGTCACTGCCATGTTTATTGCCAGCAAATATGAAGAAATGTACCCTCCAGAAATTGGTGACTTTGCTTTTGTGACTGACAACACTTACACTAAGCACCAAATCAGACAGATGGAAATGAAGATTCTAAGAGCTTTGAACTTTGGTCTGGGTCGGCCTCTACCTTTGCACTTCCTTCGGAGAGCATCTAAGATTGGAGAGGTAAAAGTTTCTTGAGAAACCTTTCGGTATGGGTACATTAGGGAACACTGCTGCTGACTAAGCAAGTCAAATTCAATTAAGTTGTATTATACCTAACTACATGGGGAAGGGATAAAGATGTTCTTTATTTCTAGTTGGGCTGCATGTTAATATTAGGGATTTCCATGGGCACTTGCATTTGAGTTTGTAGACAAACATTTGTAGTTAAAGATACATATGGGTATGCAGCTTAATGCCAAAGGAAAATTTTCTGAAAGAAGCTCAGTGATGGGTTTTGTTTCAGGCTGATGTTGACCAACATACTTTGGCCAAATACCTGATGGAACTAACTATGTTGGACTATGATATGGTGCACTTTCCTCCTTCTCAAATTGCAGCAGGAGCTTTTTGCTTAGCACTGAAAATTCTGGATAATGGTGAATGGGTAAGCTCTGTCCCACAGAACTTCTAAACTTTTAAATTGTAAAGAGTGTTTGACTGAATACAGGACTTTTGTTACTAAAAGGCACTTCAAGTGGTTCATAAATATGGGATCTACTGAAGGAATAATTACAAAAGATGTCTTAGAATATTTCTACATCTTTTTGTTTTTAAGACAAGGTCTTGTTCTGTCACACAGGCTGGAGTGCAGTGGTGCGATGTTGGCCCACTGCAACCTCACCCTCCCCTAGCTAATTTTAATTTTTTTCATGGCAGATGGAACTGTGACAAAGTTGGCCTCAAGGAAGTGGAGTCTAGTTTTAGGGGGTGCAAGTCAGCAATTACAATAATGAAATTAGGTGTGAGCACAGGTTCCTATGGAAGCATGAGAACACCTATCAAAGGACAAGTCTTAGGCTTTGTCTTAAATTTCAATTATATTAATAATTAGTTACGCAGTGCTCATCCCTTCCCCACTCTTGAATAACATCTAACATCTAGAAGCTTTATGAAAATCATTACTGATTGAGCATTTTTAACATTAACTTTTGTTGTCTTAGACACCAACTCTACAGCATTACCTGTCATATACTGAAGAATCCCTTCTTCCAGTTATGCAGCACCTGGCTAAGAATATAGTCGTGGTAAATCAAGGGCTTACAAAGCACATGGTGAGTCAATCTAGCGGCAATGTAAGATGTTGAAAAGTGAAAATAATTCAAACATCATGCCTGCAAATGCCTGGTTTATTTTGAATGAGTCAATATTTTAAATGAATACCTGTATCATTGGATCTTGTGACTTTTTTTCCTCTCTTTAATTGATTGCTATACTTTTGTCTTCCAGACTATCAAGAACAAGTATGCTACGTCGAAACATGCTAAGATCAGCACTCTAGCACAGCTGAATTCTGCACTAGTTCAAGATTTAGCCAAGGCTGTGGCAAAGGTGTAACTTGTAAACTTGAGTTGGAGTATTATATTTACAAATAAAATTGGCACCATGTGCCATCTGTACATATTACTATTGCATTTACTTACTTTTAATAAAGCTTGTAGCCCCTTTTACTTTTTTATAGCTTAACTCATTTGAATGTGGTTACTTCCTACTGTAGGGTAATGGAAAAGTTGTTTTAAAAGGTATGGTGGGGAATATTTTTAAAAACTGCTTTTGGTTTATCTAGGGACCCAATTGATGTATGCTTATATACTTGGTTCTTGTTTTATGTTTTATGTACCTGGCTTTTACTTTATTAATATGAGTTACAGAAGGTGATGGAGGTATTTGAAAACTTTACTTCCATAGGACATACTGCATGTAAGCCAAGTGGTCATGGAGAATCAGCTTTGAGGCTCTATTTTTTTTTTTTTCCTGAGTCTTGCTCTGTTGCCCAGGCTGGAGTTGCAATGGGGTGATCTCAGCTCATTGCAATCTCCGCCTTCTGGGTTTAAGCAATTCTCCGTCCGTAGTGTCGCAAATAGTTGGGATTACAGGTCCCTGCCACTATGCCCAGCTAATATTTTTTCTGTATTTTTTGTAGAGACGGGGTTTCACCCTGTTGGCCAGGCTGGTCTTGAGCTCCTGACCTTGTGATCCGTCTGCTTCCCAAAGTGCTGGGATTACAGGTGTGAGCCTGGCAGCTCTTTTTTTAAAGTAAAAGTCTACCACCTCATCCCTAGTCCCCCTGTTTTTTGTTTCTTCTGGTGATTGCTGCCATCATTCTAAGTTAATTACTTTTACCACTATTTAAGTTATCAACCTTAGCTAGTATCTTTTCAAACTTTCACTTTGAAAAATGAGAGCTTATATTCTAAGCCCAGTTTTCATTTTGTTTTTGTGTTCTGGTTAAGAAAATAAAACAATACTCAAATACAAAAGGTATCTTTTTTAAAAAATTAATTTGACCCTTATCCTCTTTCCAAATCCCACCCATCTATCTGAAGGACATCAACAATTATGGATTTATCCTTTCATGCCTTGTATAAATATAGATGTGCATATGAATTTTTATGGGTTTATTAAAAATGTGATTCATTCTATATACATAACAATTATCTTCCTCACATAAGCCTACCCGTATTTGTGCATTATATTACACAGTACAAATAAATAGTCATGTGCCCCATGAACATATTGGTCAAACAGACTACATATACAATGGTGGTCCCATAAGATTATTATACCATATTTTTACTGTACCTTTTCTGTGTTTAAATGTGGAAATACTGACGTGTTATAATTGCCTGGAGTATTCAATAACATGGTGTGTAGGTTTGTAGCCTAGGAGCTATAAGCTACACTATATAGCCTAGGAGTGTAGTAGGGTATGCCATCTAGATTTTTGTGAGTCCACTCTGATGTTTGAACAATAAGTCACCTAATGACACATTCCTCAAATCATAGCCCAGTCATTAAGCAACACATGGCTAATGTATTCAATCATTTCCCCTGTTCATTCAGACTGCCTTTTTCTCTGTCCCTACAATTTTGTTTATATATTATACCTTGCTTTTATGTATTCTAGGTTCCCTAAAGCAAGCATGCATTTTAAATTTTGACAGAACCAGATAACATCCAAAAGTACCAGTTTTCCTCTGCATTATTAAAACAGGCGGGGCCTGGTGGCTCACACCTGTAATCCCAGCACTTTGGGAGGCAGATCACAAGGTCAGGAGTTTAACACCAGCCTAGCCAACATGGTCAAACCCTGTCTCTACTAAAAATAAAAAAAAAATAAAAAAATAAAAAAAAAAATTAGCTTGACATGGTGTTGTGCGCCTATAGTCCC